GACTTTCAACTAATGGGTCATGGGTTGTAATTCCGCTCAGCTTACCGATTTTCAGTTAGCCAGGTAGTATCAGTAAACCTCACATAATTGGAGTGGCTTACTGCAAGAGAATGCACATGCTTCTTTGAGCACACATCATTCATCTCGTTTCACCTACTGATTGGAAGAATTTGATTACTGAAATGACAAAAGGAAGTTGCAGTCTTTCTGACGAGCTTATTTTCGCAGCCATAAATTCGTGAAAATAAAAGTGGAAAGACAGAGTGTTCCAGTCAAGTTTCCGGTCAAAGGTCAAACCTAATCGATAGATGTGTCTATGGAATGAAATGAAATGATAACACCAAACGCAAGAAATGACCTGAATAGTCTTCATAAAATTCATTGGACAGTAAAACTTAGTATCTGGTGAAAATAAACAAACATTTAATGAAATATATACATAAATAAATAAAATGCACCTCTGCGTATCTTATTTTGATTTATTTTAAAACTATTTCCATATCTTGTTTTGCGTGATATCATTTCATTCCCCAACTAACTTCCCTTGGCTTTGCATCGACCAAATAAGGATTTTTCGTTATTTTCTGCATTTGAATATTGCCTAGTGAACCGAACAAGTAGGAAATAGTCTTCGAAGCTGAGCGACGTGCTTAACTAACGAAGTTGTGTGACAAACCGAACTACGGCATGATCGTGACTTTCTGAACGGTCGCAGCACAGCTCGTGGGTAAAGAAGTCTGAAGAAATGAGTTACTTTCTCCAGCAAAACTTATCACTCACTGAACATCTTCTCTAACGAAAGTCAACCATTATTTCACTCATCAAAGCATCACTGGATGCAAAAAAGACAAAACTTTCGATTCTATTCAGAAACCATCTCAAGGTGCATCTTCTCGAAAATGACCATGATAGTGTGTAATGAGTTGTCTACCAGAACTTTATACTGTCTTGACTAGAGATTGCCATCACATTAAAATATATTTTTATGATGATTATTTTAACTTGGTTGGAAAATGACCGTATTGTGAATAAGGTTTCTCGCGATTCACTAAAACACAACCTCTGTCATCTTTTTGTGGAGAAAACACCATTCTCTCCAGATGTCTTTTCTTTCCTAACCGATCTGTGTCGTCTTTGTAGTCACTCCACTGCATATTTGACTACAAACAAAAGCTAGTGATTTCCCCAATGAGAAATTCACCAGATACTAGATAAAATCGGTGATATTTGACGGTATGATTTTCGAATTCAGTATGAAAGCTACCTCAAGTATTTCTTTATTTAAACATTTAATTCACCTGTACTTGAAATCAGTATTAAACAGTAACAGAAAGATTCTAAAGTACAACTGCATCAGATAGCCACTAATATTCATCAGGTTAATCTGACTTCCCTAATTATAAACTTAGAACTTTTGACCACAACTATGTCACCGCTTATTTATCTTGTGGACAACTTCCACAGATTCTGATAGGACTCAACCTCAATACAATGTGACCTCCAATCCTTGGACCAGCAAACTGCTGTACACCACAGGGCAACGTTATCAAACACCTACTAACTGCCAACAAATCGATAGCAAACCCAGTAAGTCCATACCTCCACTCAAGCAACTTGACATAGGGTGATCACTGAGCCAATCGATTTACTCACGGTAACTCGAGAAAACCTAAATACTTCTTCAAATCGTATTCAAGACAATCAAAACATTTACTAACACAGAAAATATGTCTTGAAAGGTAAAACAACGGGGATCCTAGTCAATAGATTTAACTGGTCTACCATAATCTCCGAACATCAGCAGTTTCATTCTCTCAATCGGTACTCAAGACTTTTAAAGTTTCACTATCATTACCGTATTATCTCTCTGATAACGTTCACATACCACGTGCCCGAAGACTACTGTAAGAGACGAGGGTGAAGGTGTAACACTGGGAAGCGTCATACTTCCGCATGTTTCTTAGCTAGCGGTATTTTCCGGCTGAATACATTCTACTAAAACGCAAATATGAGCTAACTTCAGATCAGCTAAACATGTTCGTCTCAAGAAATATTTTGAAGTCAAGTTATATTCACCACATGATACTTGGATTGAAAGAAGCAAAAGACCGGTATGCAGGAAGGAATGTATATTGTCAACACGTGGGACAGTAGTGGTTAAATATGGTACAACTTGCACTAAAACCATCATTTGCAAAATATGCTTCATTTCCTCTTCTGCTTCTTTCTTGATTTTCTCTTCATACGCCTGCCTCGTCTTTTGCGTTTCTCTTGGCGGAATCCTTACCCATTGCTGGTAATTACCTATGATTTCTGCCACCCTCTCAACATATATTACTTATACCCATTCTTATCAGCAACGCCCACTACAGGATCATGATGCTTGGATTAGAGAATATAATGTGAATAGCCCTTGTGTGGTAGTCACTGTCACACAACACCAATACGATAAGGTTTGGTGATATAAATAAACTATCATCATGATATCCAGGCCCGACCACCACGTCAAGGTGGCAGTCATAAGTCAGGAATCACGTGGCCGTATTAATCAACAATAGACTGTTAACTGTTAGCGATACTTATGAATACGACTGTACAGCCTTGGGAATGATATCAACAAAGGAAAATTTCCTTTGCCATATTGCTTCCTACCTTTCTCCTTAGTCTGTTATTATTTGCATTACATGTTCATGAATTCATTAGTTCTTCTAGACCGATAGCTGCTACCTTGACGTGGTGGTTGGGCTTGCACATCACAATGACCAAACGACATATGCTGGTGGAACGCTTGCTCTCTACAGGTCCTACCAAGTGAGAAAGGTCCGTTGGATAGTCGTGAAACGAAAAGCAGTTACCGACGCAGTCTAAATTACCACAGTATGATGGGGGTTTGAGGGTGAACTTGTACTGCTGCTAGCTGAATGCGCTGTAGCAGTAGGTGCGCTTGTCGACAGGATAAAAGTCAACACCCGGGAAGAGATAGTTAAGCATTTATCTGAACATGAAATCAATGCTTATGCTGAATAAACCTGGCTTGATACTAAGTTTTCTGTATAAATAGCGGTGAAGATAGTTGGTAAACTACACCCGAAGGTTAGCAAACTTCTCTGGATTTCCACAACGTAGTCCAAACTGACTGATGCGAAAAGACTAATTCCAGGTGACTCTCATAACGACGAAGACTGAAAGCAGCTTAAACGTAAATTGATCAAGAGTCTTCACAACGACAGCCAGCAGTGGTGAATAACGAAAATGAGAGATGGAGGAGGTATCAGTGGTGGGAAGTACCTGGAAACTATTTCGGTGAATTGGGGATGCCGGCAAGATGATGGTGAGTGAAACCATCACCAAAAAGGATGAGACGCTGATAGCCTCCAAGGATATGTGGCTAGGACGTTTGACAGAACATTTTGAAGTGCAGTTCAACGGGGTCACAGCAACGCTTTGATTGCACAAAATCCAGTATGAGCCACATTGACGCAGATGCCAATCTCCCAACTGTACTAAACCTGAAATGATGCAAAGCTGCAGGACCTGATAGCTCACCACCTGGAGTTTTCAAGCATGCAGGTAGGAAGTTGCTAGTCAAGGTGACGGAGGTACTAGCTAGTGTGTGGGAATCAGAGGTAATGGCGTCAGATTGGTTTACTTCACTGATCATCCCAGTCTATAAGACGGAGAAATCTTCTTGTGACTGCCATACAGAAATTAGTTTCAGTACTATTGTGTTCAAGATCCTAGCGTCGATAGATATCCGACGCCTAACTGGAGCTCACTCAGCAACAGCTAACTCGAGAAAACTAGACCTAGGTGAAGGTGCATCGGTCATATTTTTACTTCACGACAGGCTCTGCAACACAGGCACACCTACTGGCCAGTGGCCGAAGGTTGCCACATTTCTTGACCTGAAGGCAGTATTTAACTATTTCGACCGTGAGGTGTTGTGTCAGTGTCTGAGTGTAAAGGAAGTTTGGAGAAAGTATATAACGCTAATCAAAAGTTCTCTACTCCGACTCACTAAACAGTGTCAGGGTTTATGAAAAGTTGTCAGGGATGCTGACTGTCACCGTTTCTGTTCAACTTCACCACAGACGTACTAACGGACACAAACTTAGGTATGTGTGACTTCACAAGTATTGATATCCTACCCAAAGATCATCCGGTTGACTTGAAAACGATATTGCCCACTGGGTGAAGACGCTGACAAAATTTCAAGTCTTCTGAATGCACTGAGTTGGCATCCATAGATATGTGGCATACATTTCGACGTCAACTGTAAGATGATGATCAATGACTGGTCTGCTGCAAGTACTGTGTCGACCACTCCACATACTTCGGTAGCGTCATCAACCCGTACAGGCTAAAAATATCTCACCTCAGATACAAAAGGCCTGTTTAGCATTTGCAAACTTCCTTTGCTTATAGCGCGCAGAGAAACCCAACTATCTACCAAAGGACGAGTATAATGCGCAGCAGCAGCCTTTCTGCTGTACGACTGTGAAATATGACCACGGCGCTGCAACACATAGTGAATCCCTTCCCCTACATCCTTACTTAGTCTGTAATTAATTGCCTCATAAAAAGACTGAATCCAATAATTCTCGCCGTCACCGCATGACAACAGGTTGAAGTGATATGCAACTTTCGCCAACATGCCACGCAAGCATGTCGTTTAGCAGAATGGAGTACAACCACAACAGATCAGGTTCACTGCCACATTCTAACATCCCGTCACATGCAGCAAGCAACACTCAACTACCAAACGAAGCCCTGCACTGGCATACACATACGTGATGAAACCTACTCAACAAGTCCGTAATCATACATAAACATAACTCAACCATGACAACTGTCTCAAAACATCTCGGCAATCAATTAACACCCAACGAATGAACACCAAATAAACGAAAATCCACGCCAGTAACACATAAAACAAGCCTACCAACACATACCACCTACACAAACCATAACTAGAGGTATACCGTCAAGAAATCACACTATCACATGCACAAAGATTTATTTCACTCAGTTCTAGATTCACATTGAATCAAGCCTCTTCATTCTCCTCCTCCTCAAACTCTCCCTCTTCTTCCGCTGTCGCATCTTGGTACTGCTGATACTCACTCACCAGATCATTCATGTTGGACTCCGCTTCAGTAAACTCCATTTCATCCATCCCCTCTCCCGTATACCAATGCAAGAAAGCTTTGCGTCGGAACATCGCAGTAAACTGTTCACTAACACGCTTGAACAGCTCTTGAATAGCAGTGCTATTACCAATAAAAGTGACCGACATCTTCAGACCTCTAGGCGGTATGTCGCATACAGCAGTCTTCACGTTATTCGGTATCCATTCAACAAAATAGCTCGAGTTCTTGTTCTGCACGTTCAGCATTTGTTCATCAACTTCCTTCATCGACATGCGGCCTCTGAACATTGCTGCAACTGTTAGGTATCGTCCATGACGTGGGTCACACGCAGCCATCATATTCTTCGCATCAAACATCTGTTGAGTTAGCTCTGGAACTGTGAGAGACCGGTACTGTTGACTACCACGACTGGTCAGTGGAGCAAACCCAGGCATGAAGAAGTGAAGTCGAGGGAACGGCACCATGTTGACCGCTAGTTTCCTCAAATCGGCATTCAGTTGACCAGGGAAACGAAGACACGTTGTTACTCCCGACATCGTTGCACTTACCAAGTGGTTCAAATCACCATAAGTAGGCGTGGTCAGTTTCAGTGTGCGGAAGCATATATCGTACAACGCCTCGTTGTCAATGCAGAATGTCTCGTCGGTATTTTCCACTAGCTGGTGAACTGACAGAGTCGCATTGTAAGGCTCCACAACAGTGTCAGATACCTAAAATCATCACACTGAGGAAAAACAAAACGCCTCACCTTCGGTGAAGGAACTACCGAAAATGTGTTCATGATACGATCAGGATACTCCTCACGAATCTTTGAAATCATAAGCGTACCCATTCCAGATCCTGTCCCACCACCAAGAGAATGAGTAAGTTGGAAGCCTTGAAGACAATCACACGATTCCGCTTCCTTCCGAACAACATCCAACACTGAGTCCACTAACTCAGCACCTTCCGTATAATGACCCTTTGCCCAATTGTTGCCTGCACCACTTTGCCCGAACACAAAGTTATCAGGACGGAATAACTGACCGAATGGTCCCGCACGAACACTATCCATAGTCCCAGGTTCCAAATCCACTAGGACAGCACGAGGCACGTACTTCCCACCAGTCGCTTCATTGTAGTAAACATTTATACGTTCCAGTTGAAGATCAGAGTCACCATGGTATGTGCCAGTCGGGTCAATCCCGTGTTCATCAGATATCACTTCCCAAAACTAAAATAGAATAAGCTGAGTATACTCACTGAGAACTTCCTACCTTAGCACCGATCTGGTTACCACACTGACCGGCTTGGATGTGAACAATCTCGCGCATTTTCCACAGACACACACGAACAAGACCTTCTCACAACAACAAGCAGCTAAATGTCTGAAGTGAGCCGAGTGCCGATTCCTATATATAGTCGAAGAACATGTCGTCATGGTGACATACAAACGTACAAAGTAGCCAATTAAAACAAACCATAAGTTGTTATGCCTTCTAAGACTGAGGTCAGTGATTTTTGTTGGTGAATCATGTTGACGGTTGATTATCAAGGCTGTGAATTGACTGTTAAGAATTTTTTTCATATCACATCCAGCTAGTTGGGTGGGACTACAGTCCACTATATGAATCACCATTTCTAACGGCTTCTTCTTTCCCGTCTTCATGATGCAACTTCAACTAAATACATCTGTCATTATCAGTCTACGAACTTTGGTAGATTAGATATCTTTGTCTAAATGTATCATTTCCCAAAATTATAAAGCAGGTTGGAGGTGTACATTGTGTAATAATTGCTACAGCTGCTTTGAATCTCGCAGGTTAGAGATTTATTTCACAGTTAAGAAAGATTATGCAGAGTGATGTTGTGACAGATGATAAAGTTGCCTTCAGAATTTGGTGTTGACGTTTGCATTAGATGAAAGGTGAACCAATGGAACCATGTTTCTTTCCTGATTTTTGGTTCTGTCCGCCAGTTCCATCTGCTCAATTCTGTTTAGTGCTCCAGGCGAGACCTTACTTCTCATGTGGTATATTTCTAACACTGCCAACAACTAAAGAAACAATTTTTGCCATATTAGTTTTTATCCCGTGGATCGAAAATTCGAATAAGCGCTCTGCTTATTTTCTCCCTGCCTACTGATCGGTGGAGCTGTGGGCAATTGGCTTGGCTAGATGGCTTTCAAACAGTGGGTCGCTGGGTTGTAATCTCGACCCACATACTGACGTTTTCTGCTGCACGTGGTATGATAAGCCACCACGTAATTGGCGTGGATTACTGCACCAAAATGCACATGGTTGTCTGGCTGCACTTCATCCAACTTATCACTTCGCCCACTCATCGGAAGTGCTGAATACTAAAACGACAAGAAACTGGGTCGAAAACAGATAACATCACGTTCCACTTTAATTAGGTGAGACGTCAAACCCTTTTGGGTGGGGTATATCCTTTTGAAAACTACAGAAGAGCAGGTGTTATGCTCAAGTGGAATGAGGAATATAGTTTATTTCGGGCTCAACACTGAAAGAAGAGAGGGTGTTAGTCAGTGGTCGGAAGGGGGATAGAAATGGTGATAGATCAGAGGTCACTCACTGATAACGGAAAGTTCAAGGCTAGTTAATCATTGGTCACATTTGTAGTGATAATCCAATGGAAGTTTCTCGAACAAAGTAACGACGAGGATGTCAACCAAAATCCCGAGCGACCTAGCACTATAAGATTGCGTAAGTACCTCATAAGACGAATGCCAAGTGTTGCGATTTAACCCGAGTTAGTTACAAAATTCCACGTGAACAAAAGACGACGTAAGTAAACAAGAGTGAAGGAACAAGCATCCAGGGTTGACAACGAGTGATGTAGTCGAGGATTGTAGAGAGAGACAGAGGTTGACTTTGTTTTCTTTTTGAACACATAAATCGGGCACGAAGGGCTTAGTGGCTATGGCTTCAGTAGAATTGAGACCGTTTGTTCATCATCTTGGAGGAGTTGAAGACGTTCTCTTAATGTCGAGTGTCAGTGAGATGCCGAGCGACTGCACTGTCAAAACTGTCGCTTCCTCCCAGTCGTAGATTCTTTGAAATATGCTCGGAAAATCTGCGGCGCGTCCATCTTTCTGTTCTTCCAATGCGTCTCCCTCGGCAACTACACGTAAATTGATATACTCGTTTGGCGGTCGCATAAGATAGGCACCACTTGGCTTTCGTGAGAAACGCCAGAGGGGACCGTAGAATTTGTAAATAGTTTGTGGATTGGTTATTCTATTCATTTGCAGATTATATTGGACATTACTTGCCTAAGTTACTCGGCCACGTCACATTCGATACAGCTCACCTTCATCACTCAATCCAGACCGTAGGATTGCAAACGAATCCAAACCATATCCCAGTCAAATAGCCTTATTTTGAAGCATCCTCCTCTATCTGGTTCTGCACTGTTCAGAGAAATTTACTTGGTGCTAAGTAAAGAAGAAAACATTTGCCATATAAAAGTGCGAGCCAAGTATTAATGGTTGGATGAACCATGTCTGAGACTAAACATTGCACCTCAGGTTATAAGGAGATTTCGGACTGTGCAACTTTGTGGTAATTGTTTTCGATGCTAGTTACTGTTCCTAGTCTGAATGCTGCCATAGTTCAGCTGCTCTTAACCCCTCCCACAACTAAACATTCCACCCACCGTTCCCTTTTTTTCCTTGTGATAAGCCTGGAGTCTTTGTGCTGTACGGTAGTACAAGTCAGTTTCGCGCGATAGATAGAGCCTGACTTTTGCATGAGTAGAGGTATAATGGTCACAAGTGTTGGCTGACGTGTGGTATATACCAAGGGGCGATTGAATCAATAATGTATGCACGGCCCTAGCCAGCTGACAGTGAGCTGGAAATATCCTCGTAACCATCAACTCTATTGAGCGTAAAACAAGAATATTTAAAAAAATAACGTTAAAATTTGCGAAGATGGTGATAACTGACCAAGAAGCATGATGGTAGGGAGACAAACTTGAACTACCCTTGCCTCTATGGCGGTATCTTTATGAACCCTGTGGCTCTTGTACTTATGACGACAAATTAACAGTAAAAAGAATGAGGTTACCAAAAAAGTTCTCCAAGTCTACTAGCTCAGCTCACCAGGCTCCACCATATTGTCCCTATAGTCCTGATATGGTAACACTCAACAGGTAACACCATGACCACCCCACCCCATGACTATATAAAGTGTGGTTACCATTACAGCAAAAAGCATGAGTTCTATCTGAATGTTTATAACTTCAACAAACTCTTGTACATAGGTTTTCTGCACATAAGCGGATACCTGGTCCAAAATCTTCTGTTCTCTGTATTCCATAGTGACATCTTCGGCTCCAGTTTAGTTTCCACTACTTTTGTATGCACCTTCATCTTCTTCCCCATAAGCTTATCTATAGACAGTAGGTTTTGGATGCCCCTGAGAGTGGCCTTTGCGGTCAGCGAAATAAACTTGCCTACATGTATCGTGGTCGGCGTGCTTCTGCGTAGTAATTCTGTGCTCCTGTTTCAAATTTCGACTGCTTCTCGCTTTTGTTATTCATTTTTCAGGTCTACCCAATCAGTCCTTCATCCACATGGAATCCTAGCAGTGTAATTTGTCAGCGTGCACTATGCCATCTAGACCTTATGACGAACACATGAAGCCCAAGGTCATAGCTGTATTACCCACCCTACGTTCAAGAATATTGGAAGATTCAAGCAATAGCCGAATATTTCCTGCTTTCGAACTGAGACTGCCTCAGTATGATGAACAATTAGGTTAGTGTTTATCCGTTTCATTCTTTGCTGTCCGCAAAGCATTAATGTTTTAGGATTAGCCCTGGTGCGAACTTGCTTACTTCAGGATTAAACATGTGTGCCGTAGCATGTCTATTTGATTCTCGCAGTAGTGACCGTATGACGGCAAGAAATCGAGAATGAGGATTTGAGACGCTTTGTTCTCGAAAATCGGCCTTGGCATACAGAAACCACGTTTCCACACTGTCTGGCCAATATGGCACGAGTTGGATCGTTTTTGTAGTCGGCTTAATAAGAATAAGCTTGGGAGTGTGGTCGGACATGGACATATAAATGTTATCGAAATGAAAACAATATGCAAATATAAAATGGAACAGGCTCATCAATTCAATATTTGTTATTGGTCGGGATATTTGACCACGTCGGGCTCACCAATTTAGAATCAGTCCTGATGCGAACTTGACAGGCGCAGACCAATCACTGATTATTCGGACTTGTTATAGACCCGCGAGTACGAGACCAAGGGAGAACCCAATAGCGTAGTCGGATGGAATAGTATATTTGGACGGTTGTGCCAAGATAATGATGCGTTCCAACTAACTGGCCACAGAGTCAATTACGAGCAGTGCAGAGTAACACGACAGGGTGCCAAATGGAGAGGATGCTTGACCGGTTGCCTTCAGCTTAGCGAGTCCAGTTAAACTGTCAAGGTCAGCATCAATGTTGAAAGTCGCCAAACCCTATGCCTTTGATTTTGGGGAAGTGTGTGACGCTACAATGTTCCCACTCTAGACGCATCTTTTATGTACCGGAAAGAATGGTGTCTGTTGTATAGCTTGATGTTGTACATAACAGTCGGTACACATCACCAAAATGATCAAACCTGTAGACGGGTTTGTTTTCATGTAACTTGTGTCGTGTGAAATATATCATTATTATTATTGCTTTTTTATTATTACAGATTCTCCGTGAATGAGGCCAGTCACTGTCATCAACCGTCACAACCCTCTAATCAGCTCAAGATGTCAACTCTGTAGACTTATTAACACCATTTAGAGTGAAGCTCATCGGCGATGCTCTCTGAATGATTCGGCCAAGAGTGGTGATTCTTCGAAACTACTGGAAATATAGTTGGAACCTGGTCGTACCTATGTCATATCAGGTGTTAGCGAAATACACAGTGTGTTGTGGGGAGTGTCACCGCGAGTTCTTGTAGAAACTTAAATGTTTAGAACACTTACTGCTACCTGCTGCGATACCGCATAAGTCTAGCAAACGCCCCTGATAGACCTGAGCGAATTACAATTTAATATGTCAGTTAGTACCGGCATCATTTCTGCAGTTGCTTTGCATGCAGTTTTCGACGGTGAATTCCAGTTGCAACGGAGAAACAAACCAGTTAAAGGGGAGCAGTTCCATTTGATAACAACCTCGAAATCAGAATGACACAAGCTTCACATACTGTTTTTCCGACTTTACAGGGATTGTTCACAGTGCGTACGTAATTTGCGTTACATTCTTGCGGCTATCCTCGGCTTTTCGATACGTTGTTTTTCACCGTTGTTTTACACTCTCGTTCACCAATGGTGCTCATATGGCACAGAATTTCACACCTCTGTGCTTTTGAATCTTTCTTGCTGCCTGAGTGAGCTGTTGTACAGGCATTCATAACTGGTCA